TCAAAGGTCTTCATTGTCTCAAGAAAAAATAATTTCTTTAGCTTTTCTCTACATAGAAGCAAAGATAATGAACACCATAAACTATGATGGTATTATAGATGAAATTGGTATTAAAAAGTCCCGTAAAAATTGTAATTCTTGTTTCTTTTTTACGCTCTTTCTTAATGACTAATTCATTTGTTAATTTCACTTTAGTTCATTCCTTATTACAAATGGAAAATTATTATTTTAGAACGGTATATGGGTCGGTGGAAATAAAGTGGCCTGCACTCATAAGAAATATAAATCTGGCACTTCGCCGAATATAAATATTCTAATAAATTAGAATGTCGGGCAATTGTAGAAGATATTACGAATAGTCTCATCTTTTAATTCGCACCCTCTGCAGAGTGCGGATTCTGACAGCCCCATAATATGGAGATACTTTCGAACTTGGTAATGACCAGTCAAAATGCTTGTGATTAGGCCCAGGACTACTGGACCGCAGCCTTAATGTGAACGTGAACAAGGTTGAATTGTGCCTATGGACACTTGTGAAGGGGAGATCAGGTAATTTACCATAATAAAAATTCAGACATTTTGACGGTACTACCGTTTGCATAAGAAAAGTGCGTGATCCTTTGTCATATCGTACTGATACTGAGTATTGAGTATACTAGTCCTTTGCTTTAAAGATATGACTAATCCTTTTTTAAGTACAAATTTATAAGATTTTCTAATATCAAATAAATATTTATATCTAGTTTTAATGATCCAAAATGTAGGCAAAATAATTGCAATTGTTTAAAAACTACGTAATATTTACACGCCATTATTTTTCACCACACGAGCGCTGGCTAACTCCATCAAAAATGTATAAGCTACAAGGTAATTTATTTTCTTTTTATCATTTTTTTCTATCAGATTTAAAAATTAAATAACGTTCTCATGCAAACGAAGTCAAAAAGATAACGTCAAAACATATCCACATCGAGCACACCATCTTTAATATTTTTCGAACCATAATTCCATTAACTCGAATCGCTTGACGTAACCAAATGATGATATATCGAAAAGGGCTAAATAGTTATTTTCTTTAATGTACCTATACGATGATCAAAAGACCGGAAGTAATTTTTATACGCGAGGAAAAAGGAAATTGGAATCCGTGCCTTCTTTTCGAGGGTTTCGGAAGAATTTTATTTTAAACGTAATCAAAATGAATGGAACGTACTTAAAGAAAAACATGAACTATATAGCTTACCCTTTTCACCTCTACTTCTTCCTGCCTTTATAGATTGTTCTTTTTCTTTTCGGTTTCCGAGAACGTATAAATTTATAAACGCAGCAAAAAGCGGGCGTAAAAATTAAATCTCATCATCAGAAAGCATTAAAAGTTTCTCGTGCGTTAACTAATTAATTTGAAGGATTTAGGTTCACCATATCTTTCACTTAATCATGAATTCTAGCTGGCAGAAGAAAACATAATATTGCTTACAATTTAGTGAGATGTAAATAAAAATTAGAATATACAAAAATTCATCATATTAAATAGTTTTACATATATACAAGTATACAGAGTATCAATGTAAAAACTTTTCATCAGAAATATTTTCTAAGAAAAAAGATTACTGATTATGACCTAGTCTGAGTATGTGTTTATTACCTCTAAACGCCTCAGTTCACTTAAGGTGGAAAACTTTTTATTATTGGTTTTGTGAAAAATAATTATTTTTGATGAAAAGTTCTGCATGGTCCAAAACTTAAAATGCAAACATCAGATATCAATTTTTTAAGCCAGGATTGTCAAAAAATATGAATTTTACTCAAGAGTAAAGTATGTACCTTTATTTTTTACAATACAGGGCAATGTTATAAAGTAAAGTCATTTTGAATTAAAAGTTATATTCAAAAATGCAATTACATTCATTTAGCATAAAAACAAACGTTCTACATTACAAATTATTTGTAGTTATGTATTAAATAATAACCAAACCTGAATTTTAATGCTAAATGGCTGTAATTGCACATTTAAATAAAACTTTTAATTCCACATAACTTTACTTTATAACGTTCTTATGTATTGTAAAAAATAAAGATACTTTACTCTTGAATACAATTCATAGTTTCTGACAAACCTCGTATACGGCTTAAAAAATTTAACTCACAAAATTAAAAATAAAAAGTTTTCCATATGGTTCCAATTTAAGTAGATACACTGTATATCTTCTTAGAAAAACCTTCGTGAAAACATTATTTCAGAGGGCATTGAAAGTATTTAAAACATACATGCAAGTCATACTGGTGTATGGTGTCTCAGTATAGAAGCCCAGTATAGTGCAAGTAGTGTTGCTAGAGTTACTGTTTTAACATAAGATCTGCTGTTTTTGTCTCAGTTTGCCTTGTTCTTCAGCAAATGTATAAAGGATATTTTCTCGAATAAATTTTGATTTAAAATGCAACAAAAATAATAAGGCATCATAATAAGAATAATATGCATGACAAACACAACATATTTGAATTATCTCAGGATTCAGGTTGATATGAAAGAAATAGGTACCTATCATTTCTCATTTACTTCTTTTGTCACCTGACATTAAGTTTTACTTGTTTTATTTATTTTATTTTTTGTTTAATTTCCAATTTGGGAATAAAAGCCAAAAATCTACTATTCCAGAAAATTATCATCTGACAACACTGCAACAGACAATTTTTAGTACTATCAGCTAAAAAAGTTCAGCAAATAGTTTATGGGTGGCTGGAGAGTCTAGCCGCTAGACTGTTGTACATTCTAGTTCTCGCACCACTGATCCATCGAGAACGTGGAATAAATGATAAATGGAAAGCAGTAGGGCATCCAAATAGTGGCACAATAAGCCATCTGGGCTTCAGTACTGCCATGCAAACCCCAAGAAGAAGGAAAACAGACTGGAGCCCCAACAGTAGCACATCCAAAATTTAAGTTTAGTCGGAGGGTAGTGATAATAAAGTTTAACTTTGAGGGGTAGTGTTAACATTTAAGTCCTTATTTTTGATAAGAATATATTTTAGCACCTATAAAAAGTTATTACCCCATTATTTCCCCCTATATGCGCTTCTGGGCCCAAAACATATTTAAAAAATTGAAGTAAGATATAAATAGAATCTAAACTCTTTTCAAGGTGACCTTCTATAGATCAACTGATCTAGCCAAATAGAACTAGCGTTAAAGTAGTTTTTCTCATTCTAATGTCACTTAATTCATCTCCAGTGGGAAACTAATCAGATTTATTAATACCATGGTCTAAAGATATGTACAGTATTAAAATATTTTAAGTATTACTGTTTAATTATTGGGCCTAGGAATGCTAACTAAATCTTTCTATATCTTTTGCCTTCTCGAATGTTGGAAAAGGATTTCTTGTCCTCTTGTACGCATCCTCTTGACAATGTTTTCATCTCATATCTCTTCTATCTTTTCTTTTTTCTTCCTATTTATTTGTTTTTTAACCTATTTTTCTAATTCTGGAATTGTTCCTGTTAATCTGTCGAGATTCATTTCTATCAATTTCCCAAATATTAATTTAGATTATCTCTTTGCCTTTCATCTATCATCATCAGTTTTGTGTTATTAAATATTCACCTTCATTTTTCTTGTCCATAGTTTCATTAATTTATGCATTTTTTTGTACTTGTGATCAATACCACGTCATCTGCATGTCAAAGACTACTCAGTCTTACAGGTTGTAGATTTTTGTTCAATTGTACCCCTATCGCTTTCATTCGTTTCACAATCCTGTTCATAGTAAAGATAAAAAGTGATAAGCTTAACCTGTCTCCCTGTTTGATCCCCTATATCATTTATATTCCTTGACATTTGTCCTAATATATGCACTTTTGCTTTTATTTTGTCTTTTTATTGTACTGTAATATGTACTTCCATTTTCTCCATATCCAATTTTTGCTCTTTTCATTGTGTCGAATGCCGCTTTTAGGTCTATAAAAGAAAGAAGTACCTAAATTTTGACTAGAATTTATATATTATCGTCTATCTATCTATTTTTGTCTATTATTCATCCAATTTAGGATATTTCGTTAAGATTCTTGTGTATATTTTAAAGGTCCTTGGTCCAAACATATAGCTCTGGAGTAGTCCCGTTTTTTCTTTCCTGTTTGTTTTTAATAGACAGGTTTTATTAAGATTAGTTTCTCATTCATTTGGTACCATTCTATGGCACGCTTCTTTTGATATGGCCCTTAATATCCACTCTTCTTTTTCCTTCTCACCATTTGATAATTTCCCTAATCAAGCCATCTTTCTGCCTCTTACATTTTAATTTTTGTATGACTTCTACTTCTTATCTATTTTTTTCGCCTTGTTGTTTTAGTCCATCTTGTTTATATTTTATTCCAGATACGTGGCATTAAATTTATTTGTGTTTGTCTATATACAAAACTATTCAACAAACTTTTTTGTATACATCAATTTACGAACATTATAAATTCTATTTTGTATTTTCACCCACCAACTCAGTGTAGGTTTTTCTCGTAAATTGATTTCAGTTGTGAAAGTTTCGGTCCCCAAACGGAATGCATTGTGGATTGCAAGTTGAATTTAATAAAGTGGCATGTGTTTTTGATAGAGGATATTCCCAACTTCGGACCATATTTATTATAGCGTTCTCCGACCGTTTCGTTTTATTTTTACTTTATTTATAGGCACCAGCGGCTGCACATGAGCTACTTATGTACAATGTAAAGATAAGAAAGAAGACAAAATCGGTAGGTACAATATTATTGTAACTGTTAACGGAAGAATTGTATGTAGTTAGTGATTAGTTTTGGCTATGAAACAGCAACAAGGAAAATCGGAAAATGGAAGCAAAGAATTAAGAAAATCCATCCAGATCCAGAACAAGATAGAAACATAAAATAAGAAAAGAGTGTGATGGCTAATATCTAAAAATTAAGAGAAGAACACTAAATTTAATAGGAAATGGACAGTATTATAGAGAAATTTGGAAAAATCTCATTCAATCTGACTAATCACCTATTACTGATGATACTGATAATACTGATGATACTGATGATACTGATGATACTGATGATACTGATGATACTGATGATACTGATGATACTGATGATACTGATGATACTGATGATACTGATGATACTGATGATACTGATGATACTGATGATACTGATGATACTGATGATACTGATGATACTGATGATACTGATGATACTGATGATACTGATGATACTGATGATACTGATGAAACTGATGATACTGATGATACTGATGATACTGATGATACTGATGATACTGATGATACTGATGATACTGATGATACTGATGATACTGATGATACTGATGACACTGATGATACTGATGATACTGATGATACTGATGATACTGATGATACTGATGATACTGATGATACTGATGATACTGATGATACTGATGATACTGATGATACTGATGATACTGATGATACTGATGATACTGATGATACTGATGATACTGATGATACTGATGATACTGATGATACTGATGATACTGATGATACTGATGATACTGATGATACTGATGATACTGATGATACTGATGATACTGATGATACTGATGATACTGATGATACTGATGATACTGATGATACTGATGATACTGATGATACTGATGATACTGATGATACTGATGATACTGATGATACTGATGATACTGATGATACTGATGATACTGATGATACTGATGATACTGATGATACTGATGATACTGATGATACTGATGATACTGATGATACTGATGATACTGATGATACTGATGATACTGATGATACTGATGATACTGATGATACTGATGATACTGATGATACTGATGATACTGATGATACTGATGATACTGATGATACTGATGATACTGATGATACTGATGATACTGATGATACTGATGATACTGATGATACTGATGATACTGATGATACTGATGATACTGATGATACTGATGATACTGATGATACTGATGATACTGATGATACTGATGATACTGATGATACTGATGATACTGATGATACTGATGATACTGATGATACTGATGATACTGATGATACTGATGATACTGATGATACTGATGATACTGATGATACTGATGATACTGATGATACTGATGATACTGATGATACTGATGATACTGATGATACTGATGATACTGATGATACTGATGATACTGATGATACTGATGATACTGATGATACTGATGATACTGATGATACTGATGATACTGATGATACTGATGATACTGATGATACTGATGATACTGATGATACTGATGATACTGATGATACTGATGATACTGATGATACTGATGATACTGATGATACTGATGATACTGATGATACTGATGATACTGATGATACTGATGATACTGATGATACTGATGATACTGATGATACTGATGATACTGATGATACTGATGATACTGATGATACTGATGATACTGATGATAGTGATGATACTGATGATACTGATGATACTGATGATACTGATGATACTGATGATACTGATGATACTGATGATACTGATGATACTGATGATACTGATGATACTGATGATACTGATGATACTGATGATACTGATGATACTGATGATACTGATGATACTGATGATACTGATGATACTGATGATACTGATGATACTGATGATACTGATGATACTGATGATACTGATGATACTGATGATACTGATGATACTGATGATACTGATGATACTGATGATACTGATGATACTGATGATACTGATGACACTGATGACACACGTTCCTTACTTTTGATGCTTTAGAACAAAAACACTCAAGAGATCATTTTTATATTGTAATTTTCTCCAACACTCTCCTTTATGCACCTTACTAGATATACATGGTAACAACTAAATTAGTAATTTTACTGGAAGCAAGTTCTAATTTTTGCAAAAATTTCGACCCTATGCTATAATTAAATTACGTGTAACAGTTAGGAAGATAACCCCAATCAGCAATAAGAATTTCAAAAATTTAAAGCTAGGATTCATAGAAGTTGGAATAAATTCATGTTACAGTTACAGTTCATGTTACAGTAATAATTTAAGAATGAATAATACCTAAAGTGACTATCGCCAGTTCAATCTCACTAACGGCTTTTGTATAGGTTCCAAAAGAGTCACTGCCTTCCGTTAGATATATCCTAGTTCTCAAGGTGCCTATCCAAAATTTCTTTCGATCAATTCCAGAACAAAACTTAAATTACAGTGTGATTTGATGGACGAATAGGATGAATAATGCTGGCCCCAAGTTTGAACCTTGAGGAAAGCCAACATCCATAGCTATAAACAATGGGTACTGATAAAACATATAACAATTAATCTGTTATATAAGATTGTACTATTTGATTGATGTTTATAAGGACTACATAAAATCATAAGTGTTACATATGGTTGAACTCGTATTAAATAGGAGATTCCAGTAATGACTGAATATACAAAGTGATGAATTTGAAAAACCAAAGTGTATAATAATATAAGAGAAACGGTAAATCTGGCAACATTGCAAATATCAAATCTAGAGTCTCCGTATCCCAAAATGGGTGTACCCTAAATTTTGTACAATTAGGACTAGCAATTTACGAGATAATTGGCCGTTTCCAGACTTTTGGGCCACTCCGTATAATACCTAAGAAAAGTTGCCTCTACATACAGGGTGGATCAATCTTGTGGAAAAGTTCGATATCTTCCTTGTTGAAAGAGATATTAAAAAAGTGTATTAAGAAAATTATGGACATATTTGAGGTTAACATTTTAAAATTATTGGGAGGTATACAGGGTGTTGAATAGCTCGTGTACGAACCAAACATAAGTTTTTTTTTAATTATTACCCCAGTATATTATTTTAGATTTTGTTTACTTATCTTTTTTCCATTCTTTTAATAGATAGTTTGTCTATGTTATATAGGATACTTTTTAAGGAATTGACATTTTTGTGAGAGAATCGTACATAATTCAACGTCCAGCAGCCAATTACACACTGTAGAAAAAATATTTTTTTACCCACACGAATTTTATAACATGATGTTTTATACTTTTTTTAGGTATTTTATTATCTGTTTATTTGTATAGAGGTAGATTCAATACTCAGAAAATTGATTTTCTTATTTTATTTAAATGGGACACCCTATATTTTATATTACCAATAAAATCCTATATAACATAGACAAACCATTTATTAGAAGAATGGAAAAAAGATGAGTAAACAGAATCTAAAATAATATATATGGTTATCATTAAAAAAACATATGTTTGGTTCGTGAACGAGCTATGCAACACCCTGTATACCGCCCAATAATTTTAAAATGTTAACCTCAAACCTGTCCATAATTTACTTAATACACTTTTTAAATATCTCTTTCAACAAGGAAGATATTGAACTTTTCCAGAAGATTGGTCCACCCTGTATATTAAGCTATTTAAGCTATTTTCTGAAATTTTAATTTAAAAAAAATGTCTTCAGGGCTCTACATCCCATCAACAAGTTTAAAAAACAAATAATTTTTTTTGTTTTTTTAACTTTTAATACAAACTGAAAGTTGCCTTAACTTAAGCCGGAGATACACATGCAAGCAAATTGTGCTAGTAGCTTGCATGCCAGTAGCTTGCATATGCCAGTAGCTTGAAGACGGAAGGATACATTTACCAGTAGCTTAAAAAGCCTTTGGGATCGCGAAGATTTCAAATAGGTTAATACAACGTTTCACGCTAATCTGTCCCAGAATTTTCAAGCGTTTCCAGTTTTTAAATTTTCACAAATGGCCTTTCATATAAAAAAGGTTCGAAGCGAATTAAATAGTGTAATATTGTCACTTGCAATAGAATGTGTAGGTCAAATAATACAACCTAAATGGATCACCAAAAGGAGAACACGTATTTGGGTGAAAAATTGGATTGGCAGAAGGGACATTTATGGAGCAAGTAGTTATAGAAACCATTTAAGAATGCTTCCTAAAAACTTTGATTACTTGTTGGCCAAAATTAAGGACCAAATTACCAAAAAAGACACCTTTTTGTTTTATTTATTTTTTTTATCTTGAAATTTCTTATAGGCATTTTCTCGTGCTATTTTATTTTAATACAGAGATTAATTCAAATTCCACAAACACTCGTACTCTATAAACAAATAAATTTTATGATCTTTTTATCTCCCTACCGAGACATGATGATACGGTATCAACAAAACGAAAAAAGAAAAAACTTGACGGCGATCACAACTTGCATGCAACTATTGACCTGCTAGTACCTGTCGTCTGTGTTCACACATTCAATTTGGTATGCAATTCGTACCCCTCACCATCCAAATTGCACATTGCATGCCAAAAAATCAAATCTTGTTCAATATACTTGTATACAAGCTACTTGTATGCAAGTTAACAGATACACATGCAAGTAGCTTGAACATTCAAGTAGCTGGTATGCAAGTGTTCAAGCAACATAAACCAAATGCACCTATTCACAAGTGCCTGACATCAAACTTTTACATTAATAAACAAATCCAGAAAATCCCAAATGTCACGAAACTGTTCAAACTTGTTCAAGCCAGTTAAGACCAGTTTATAATTGATTATGCATGACGAATTGTGCAGCTCTAAGCTAAACTCAGTCTTCTTTTGATAGTCGCCGAAATAAGATCTTTGTTTTAAGTTGTAATGAGTTTGTCAGTGAAGGACAGTAGGGACAGTAGGGGAGCTACGAATTGTCCTCTATTTGGTGCACCAGCGAATATACCCTCTAATGTTTTTTAACTGTGGAAATTATCATGAAGCGATATTTGCTTATTCGAACTGTACTTAAGGTTTTGAGCTTGGTAAAGACCCTAGAATTTTAGAAATTTCTCAAAATCGAAGTGATCTGGGAAAAAGCTGAATTCCCACTATATCGAAAAATCGCATTATACAATTAATTCGAGATATCCTGGGTGAGTACCAAACCCTTATTAGATATCCTAAAATTAACGAAATTACATTTATATGTTAAAAGTTGAGAAATATAATGACGATTGAAAGAAATTATTCGATATTTCTGCATGTAAATGTGCTTCTTTTGATACATGTGGATGTATTAAAATACGCAAAATACTGTGACAAAATGTGTCATTGAAAAAATAGACGTTACTGAAAGAAATAAATTAAAAACCAAAGAAGAAAGAAAAAATAAGATCAAGGCGTTTGCAAATCATGTTACGGTTTTAATTTAAATAGGAGAAAATAAATATATAAATCGAATAAATGATATACATTTTCACAAGTTATATAAAGTTGAATGAAACTTACCCTTTTGAAAATAAAACAGATTTAGAAGTTGATAATTTAATAGTTTAAAGTTTGGTTAATCTACAGAAAATGTAAACATTTCATTCTGATAATAATCTGTCAACCTTGACCTTTCTTCTTCTAGTGTAACTAGGACCTATTTCATTTCTTAAATGTTCTATGGCAAGGTTATGATTTATTATTTGAACAGATGCCATTTTCCCCTAAAATTTCAATAGTTGGCGATATTGGTCGGCCATTAAATCAAGGAACTTCCTTCCTTTTTGGCTCTTTCTTTTGATGGCATGAATTTGTTGGGTCCATGTGGTGACTGTTCAGATTTATCGAATTTTATTCGAAACAAAAGCCATATATTAAGAGACAATTTCAACTATCACTAGGAAACTACATTGTCTAGTCTTGACAGCACTTCTTGTGAATAAAGTAGTTCCTAGCACGGCCCTACCTTATATTCGGTAAGTCCATATTTAGCTATACCTTTCGGCTTATTTGTGTTTCTTATATTGCCTTTCTTTCTAGGCCTTTTAGTATTAAGAGACCTATAAATTACTTGCATGAGCTAAATTAGAACCTTTAAAGATTAACGCTTACCGCTTACCTGCTTTTTGCTCTAGACTTCAGTCTTACTGCCTATCTCCATTAATAGCTACTTGCTGGACCACAACTGCATGCTTACTAGCTCCTAGGCATATGTATTTGTGGATGCTACATCCAGACTGCTGTCTACTTATTATTAGCACGCATGACGATTGTGTACCTATAGTGAAATTACCCCATACAACTTGGATCTGCTACAAACAAGTAAGAACTTTTCTTTTATTATTCTAAGGGTGATAAGCTAAGCTGAAACCTCAGAACATTATCCCCGGCCTGGACAATATCGTTATCTTGTGTAGTGACTAAATACCTAAAAGAATGGACATTAATAGTAAACGAATATAGATATATTACCCTTAGTAATAGTAAACGAATATATTTAGATATATTACCCTCAGTAATAGTATCTATCTTTAATTTCATATACTTACATTCACCTCACTGTGAACAATTAGTACTAATTGGATATCCCAGGGCAACTTGATAGATTTAGCCCCTTTTTGTTATTATTGCTTACATTACAAACTGGAAACTAACCTGCACTGATCCTGGACGGAAATTAAATTATATGGGTATAATAAGTGTAGTTTAAATCATATATCCCTCACCCACTCTCCGGTAGTTCATAAAACTACTTGAGCTATTATTTGTCTTTATTATTTAAACAAACGGGGAATTTCATTACTAATAAGCACCCCCCAGATAAAAGGGAGGTAGCAATCAGCTTCCCTTTAGGTTTGATGTAGACAATGACAACATTGAAAACTTTGAGCGAGATAGTATTTATTATGCATCTAAGTCTGAGATGTCAGTAGAGCTTGAGAATTTAACAGAAAAACAAGGAGCTAAGTCGAAGCTTTCATCAACATCATGTTGCAGTACATG